AATCGGTTGACCACAACTTTTGGCCCCTGGAACACTTTCTCAGACAATGACACTTAAATTCAACTGTCTGGATTCGCAAAAACATTCTGTCCTAGAGCTAGCTTTCCACAAGGCTTATCGTAGCTCAAATAACAGCAAATAATTCTCCTGTATTCCTTTTGAGGCCAGGAAGACAAAATTCATCGTCTTTTCCTTGAATCATGAATTGTACAATTTAATTAAGAGTGCTTTTAGCATGAAATTGGAGTCTAAATCAACACGAACGTACAGATATCAAAACCTAGGCGGAGAGCTAATTGTCCTAAATGGACTGAACAAGAGCTTCCTACATCGAGATTCGATTGAACTTCAAACAAACTAGGCCATAGTTAGCAGTAAGCGAACACTCAACATGTTGCCGTTACGTCAATTATCGCCCGGAAGCCGCGCAAATAAATTTCTTCCGCGCTAGCGAATCACAGACAGTTCTGATAGTTAGCTCAGCCGAGAACGCCTAAAATTGATAAAACAAGGAAATTCTACTCATGATCAGCGCTTGAACTCATGTTCTTCACCCTGCTCGTGGTCATGTTTTGCTCGCAAATAGCAATGTTCCGGATGTACTTCAATTTTGTCGAGAGCGGAACGGCCATATCCAGGTTTCAACAGATTTTTTCTAAGTCTTTAGTTACATCAAAGTTCTCACCAAATAACGCAAACAGCAGATATAAATGTCTAGTCCATTGCACGTCTAAGCCCTAAATTGATGTGGCTAAAGATTTTTGCTGTCTAGAGCAAGCACAACATTATCGCCACAGGGCAAACGGCCTACTGTTACGGGACTACATGTGACCCGTTCAGTTTACACATCTCAGGCCCGCCTCACGTACGATAATGGACGACGCTTGCCAGCAAATCGTTGGACGTGCGCCTTCATTGGACTTAATGATGTCTCGGGCAGACTTCCTTTAGACAGCAAATACAGAACGCTGATCGGTTGGCTCCTTCTCAGAGTCACCGCGCGAACTGAAATTCAGACGAGTGTAGTCTAGGCTAGACAACGATTGAAAAGGGGAGGAGGCGGNAATTTCTTCCGCGCTAGCGAATCACAGACAGTTCTGATAGTTAGCTCAGCCGAGAACGCCTAAAATTGATAAAACAAGGAAATTCTACTCACGATCAGCGCTTGAACTCATGTTCTTCACCCTGCTCGTGGCCATGTTTTGCTCGCAAATAGCAATGTCCCGGATGTACTTCAATTTTGTCGAGAGCAGAACGGCCATATCCAGGTTTCAACAGATGTTTTCTTGAAAAAATGAAAAGCGCTTGATTTCATTAACACTGTTTTCATAAATCCAGACATATATATAAATAGTAGAATGTATTTTGTAATATTTTAAGAGTAATTTTCTTTTGTTTTGTTTTTGATTACCTCTCCCATACAATCGATGACACAAACCGCAAATACTTTTACTACCTTTCTGTGCCATTTTAAACAAGTCATCCCAATTCTAATGTTTTCTCAATTTTATTCATTTCTGTAAACTACATTTTGCTTCCTTTTTTGAGGACTTTATTACAATTGCTACTGTTGATAGTTTTGTGCCGTAAATAATTATCATGTAAAGTTTTGGTGAAGAGTTTTAATGAGCCCAATAAAATGTTTATTATTATTATCATTATTGTCATTAAAATCATCATCATCATCATCAT